GTGTTTTAGAAGGGGTGTAGGAAGGTTTTTTTTTATTTTGTTAGTTTTGTTTTGATATTAAAACATGATTTTAGTTGAATTACTTGTTTTCTCTCATAGGTTGGTGATTTTGTGTTGTAGAGGTTATTTTGGTTTTCTGTTGTAGTTTTGCTAGAGGTATAAAATGTCCCCCCTCTGATGCGATTTATTTTCTTTATGTGTCAGTTTGTGAGGTCAGTCAGTACTTCAGTCGCCTTTCTTAAGTTTGGTTTATCGACCTCTTTTCTTTTTCTTGGGCCCATGTTTATGTTTAGAGTTAAGATTTTATTTTGTTAATACATTTTTTTTTTCTTAAACTTTCCTATACTCTGATTTTTCTTTCCTACTCATTCCCTCATAGGGATCCTAATGCAATGGTTCCATATCCGACTGGAATCTGGAATGTTTGCTGAACAGAGCAAATCTGAGGTGCAAATCACCACACCTCCACCACCGTGCTGAAATGTCTTGTTTCTTATCTTTGGTGTTTAACGTTCTAACTGAGGCTGGGGCGTCTGGGATGGAGCTCTGAGGAGTCTGTTGGTTTTCTGAGTGCTGATCACTGAATGAAACAAGAGAAGTTGTCTGATTTCAGTAATAATGTTTCCTTAAAATATATATTAAAGACTATTTTAATTTTTTTCCCCTCTTTTTGTGTGTCTTTTTAGGACTTTGCACATCACTGGATGTGTTGTTCTATTTTCTGGTAAATGAAACCAAAAGCAGAAAAATATTCATTGAAGGTAAAAATAATGTGTTGCAGAGAAAATGTTGCATTTTAAGAAGGTTTACATTTTTGTTTAATCTGCATACATGGCAAACATAATCTAAGCCATTTCAGAACTGATCAAGGGCCACCTAAATTTCCTTTAAGGACCACAAATGGCCCCCGGGCCAATATTTGGACACCTGTTTTAAGGAGATGTTCAGACTTGTATCCAATCCCTTTCCCTTTGAATTTAGAGAAAGCAGCAAGGAAATGCTTTTCTCTTTCTCTCCAGTTTGGTTTAGTTTTTTCCAATTAAATATTAATAATTTTAAAGATCAGATAAAATCATTTCTATGCATAAATATAAATTTTGTCCTAATTTGAAGCATGAATCCAGAGAACAAAGGCCTATGGCCACGTCTAAGGCCTTCATTTTCACCCTGTTGTTCACCACATGCCCAGCAGGTGTCCTCGATGCGTCACCGCTGGTTTCCATCAGTTTCTCCTGCTGCTTTTCCAGGAACTCTAACACCATTAATGTCTAATTTGTTTCGGATTTTCTCTGCAGCCAGAATCAGAACCGCCTGGAATATTTATGGAGAAAGAAAACCCATTAACTGTTCTGCCTGTGTGTCGTCTCTGGTGTTGGATAAGGACCTCCACCTTATATAATCTATATTTATGAGCATCAGTGTCAAACGTCTTGGAAGGCTTTCAGCTGCACCGTTCCCATTGCTCTGATGATGAAACTGGGTCTAATGAGCCAAGCTCTTTTAAATCTGGATCCTTCCTGGACTGCTTCCCCTCTTTAAATCAGACATAACTGACATTTCTGCAGGTTAGCTGATGAGTTTGGAGAATCACTGAATCTGACAGATTTCAGGTCACAGCAGGCTGGTAGATCTGCTCCCAGGTGCTGCTGTAGGGCGGTACCTGTGTCCTCTGATGTCCGACTGGTCGCAGACGCCTCCCAAAGCGATCCGCTGAAACTCCCTGCCAAGGGTGCGGGCGATGGAGCGCCCCACGCTCGTCTTACCGACACCAGGAGGTCCAACGAAACACAGGATGGGGCCCTGCAGAATCATTCATGAAAAAAAAACAGAGTGACGCTTAACAAGCTGGATCGTTTCAGGAGACGGCGGCCAAAGCATCAGTTCAAGTCTGCTTTTTATTATTCCTCATCAGTTTAAATTGCTTCTCTTCTCATGCGGTTAGAAGAACACGCTCTAAAAAAAAAAAAGAAAAAACCTTTGGCAGCCCAACACTGAAGCATGCTTACAGAATGAGCAGAAAATCTGCATTAATGGTGAGAAACGCCGGCCTGTTTGGAGCTCCGAGCCTCGGTCAAATGTTCCAGCTCAAATATTCCAGGAATCTCCCAGAAAGATGGAAGCTTGAAACCTTCTAAGGTTTTTAAACATCCTCTGTTGGATGGGCTCTGCATTAAAATTAGCTTATTCCCTCCAGTGAGTCTCCACTGGTAGCTCTACATGCTGCTTGGATTAACTGCTCTCTAAACCAATAGCTTGATGTAGATTTTCAGTCTTTCCGGTACAATAAAAAGCTAACTAATTAGCTCATGTTGTTCTTTCACTCTCTGCAGGCATCGTAACACTGCGTTCACACGGAGCGCGTTTTCAGTGCCATAAAAGCGCCTGACGCCTCATTTTGGACGTTTGCACTGATCGATGTCAGATGTGCATTGAAAGCATTTTTGAGGGTTTTGAGAGTGGCTTTGCTTTGCTTTATTTGCTGCAATCAGTAGGAAAAACAGTTAAAGATATCTTTAGTGCAAGACAAGTACACCTGAACATATCATCCCTGGTGATGGCTTTTCACTGCAGTCCACAGCTTCTCTGATTGGTCGACACGCTGCCAATCTGCCCACCCAAAGCTGCGCTGTTCGGTTTAAGTCAGGAACGGCGTAAATTACATCAAAAATCAAATTAAAGCGCTTTTTATTGCAGCTTTTTAAGAGTATCACCCCTGTGAAACGGAGCTGTTACATTTATTACGTTTTCTCACATTGAGCCGGGACTTGCTCACACTTCTTATCCAGTTCAATGAAACTGCAGCTAAGAGATGTAGAACTGCAGACCAAATCAATCGATTACAGATCAAAGTGCTAAATAGAGATCTGTTAGTGGATTTTTATATATTCTGCAGCCTCGTTTCAGGACTCTGATTTCAAGCAGTTTCAAGAATCGATTGGATTTTAAACTTGATTACTGGCATTAAAAAGGTTTTTTATATCCTCCCTGAATTATATGATTGTATCATACTAGTATTATCTCAACATTTAACAGCAATTTAATTTTCGTTAATTGAGCATTTAACTTTCTCTTTCCCGCCTTTTCTGAACCAATAACAATGGAGGGAATCACCATGGAGACCTATAGAAATGTCCAGACTCTGGTTAATAGCTGACAGAGGAAGCTAATGCTAACATTCTTGGATCAGCAGCTAGCTAGTATCTGCTTTCAAACTCTTTGCATTTTATTCTGTACTTTAGATTTTCTCAAAGGTCATAGTTTCAACTTTTGGTGCAAAATAAAAGCATTAATTTTACCGAAGCTAACAGACGGTTAGCTTACATCACCATGGTGATGACGCTGACCTCACCTTCAGGGACGTCTTCAGCTGTCTGACAGCGAGGTACTCCAGGACGCGTCTCTTCAGCTTGTCCATGGCGTAGTGGTCGTTGTCCAGCAGCGTCCGAGCGGCTCGGATGTCCAGGCAGTCTGAAGGGGTTAAAACATTATAGATGGAGCAGATTTTCCACAAACAATCATTTTCAATCTGGATTCAGATTTTTTTTTTTTTTATGTTTTAATGGCCTGATGAAATATCCTGAAATTTAATGCTGTCTTTATGAGCTGTAAGCAGAAAGATTTACAGAAATAAAGGCTTGAAAACATAAATCTTCCTGATTATTTATATAATGTGTTTCATTTTGTGAACAGAGTTACTGAAATAAAAACCCTTTTAATTAAATTCTTTTTTTGGAACAAAGAGCTGAAATGATTAAAGGGACTTTTAACAGTTTTGATGCTGATCAAAAACAGGCGACAACAATTAAAATGTGTATTCTGGGTTTCTACGGCAACACGACTCATCACTTCAGGTCCATAACGACAGAGTCCATAGACCTTGGAGAGTGGTGTATGTATGAGGAGTATAAGAATGTGTTATATTGGTTTGTATATGTCTGTGAGGACGTAAGGCTGGGTTTTATCAGGTTGAGTAAACAATAAGCTGCAGCTACAGATAGATGCAACCCTGAATGATAACAAGTAATCATCAAAGGTTTTGCTTAATATTTATACAGTTATTAACCTGGTGTTGCTTTTTTTTGTTTCTCTAGTTTCTTTTCCTCTATTTTTCTGCAGCTGTGGAAGCAAACTTTAAGGAGTTACTGTATGTTTTCTGCTATTTTTTGTGCTTTTTTCCCTTCCCTTTCTTTCTCTCAGAACCTTAATAGAACAGCTATAAATGTCTGCTTGTTGGGCAGACAAAGCTGTTGGGCTGTTATGTAGCTCCAGGACATCACTTCCCTGAGCTATATTGGCAAAACAGGACAAGGAAAAAAAACAATAAAGTTAATTTCTTCTTCAATCTGAGTAAAGGGACTCAGAAGGAGCCATTTCTCAGCTCTATTATGGAGCTACTAGCATGTTAGAAACAGGACAGTGTCGTCCAGCAATCACTCCGTCCTCCCAGCTGAGACAGCTAGCCTACCCTGGACGAGCTTTGCTAAAACAGTTAGCATCTTCTGTTATTCCTCAGAGAAATCAGATCAGCAGGTGACCAAAAGCTTCTTTTAGCTGCAGCTTTATTGTTTTTTTTTATTATTTATTGAACTGATTGATTGACTTTATTGATTTTTTTAAGCAGGATTAATAATATTGCACAGGGTATTTATATAGAAGGGTATTTATCTATATAATTGTTGCACTGGGTATCAATTATAAAGAAACAGGTAATTGCACATGGTATTAAATAGTAATTACACATTATACATTGCACAGATTACTGCCATGGTAGGGTCGCATTGTAGAGTCTGGTTGCAGTAGGGATGAATGATCTGTGGTAGAGCTCCTTTTTACAAACGGGGTGTAAAAGTCTTTAACTAAAGGAGCTGCTGAGCTCCTCTACACTCTGGTGCAGAGGGTGAGACGTGTTTTCCATGATGGATGTAAGCTTGGACAGTACCCGGCTCTCAGCTGCTTCCTCCACTGAGTCCAGAGCACAGCCTATGACAGAAATGGCCTTTCTAAGAGTTTGTAAAGTCTCTTTCTGTCCGTAAGTGCGTATTTGGTAAGTGTGATGGACGGTAACATAGACCCAAGTAAAACCAGATTCTTGCTTTGATTTAATTATTAGAATTGGGGCGCTCTAAATCTGATAATTCAGATAATAATTATGTGTAAACGATTTGTTGCCCACCAGCCTTCATAAATCCAATAAATACATTTTAAACAAAAGAAAATCTCTGAGGTTTTATCTTATTAGCATAAATAGCTCTTCTGTAGAGGACACGGCCATTTGCAATTCATTTACCGCACCAGTAGATGGCAGTAAGCCTGATACATGGGGACTTTAATAAACGTGTCAGTCTGAGTGTGAACAGAACTATGGATTGTTCCAAACACTGAGACACAGAACCACATGTTCACGGCTGTGTCTGAACGTTCATCCTGACCTCTGACCCCTCCATCACTATATAGTGGACTTTATAGTGCTCAGTTAACTGACCTTTTGGACGTATGACCAATCTTGCAAAGCTTTCGGGGATGTATCTGCTTGTCTTGTGACCATGGTTGCAAACTACTTTTCCAGGTGGATTGAGGGAAATTTTGAGTCCACTACTTTTTCATCCACTCGACATTTGGATGCTCATATAACATTGCGTATCCCCTCTAATAGGGGTTAGGGCGGATATTCAGACCCAGTCTATCTTCCTCCACCACAGAGGAAAGTTTGGGGCCAGTTTAACCTCATCAGTTCAGTTTAGAACCTATAAAAACACAACAGCGCACTCTTCTGGATGAAAGAGGCATGTGCACACCACTACAAACAAATGGGAGTTTATCCTCTATCAGGAAAAGCTGCCTTAGAACGCCTCCCGGTTTAATTGTTCTGATCAGTGTTAAAACTGTTGGATCTACTTCTATAATCAGAGCTGAATGGAAAGAAAAGCAATACAGACAGAAATGTTGATGGTTCTAAAGCAGGGGTCTTCCACGTCTTCCAGGCAAAGGACCCCCAAGGATGGCGAGATGGTGTGGGGACCCCCTAGGTATATGGCATGAAATTGTGTCTGAGGTTGGGCAAACTGGTCCTATAGTCCCTCTATTACAGATGGAGTAATGTAACTAAAGTAATTTCTTCCTGGGATTATTAAAGTATTTCTGATTCTGATTCCTGGTTGATGGGACAGGTGTTGTGAATGAAATGGTGTCCAGCTTGAAAGAGCTCCTGTGTGTCGCTGAATGTGAGCATTGATGACTGAAAGACATCTTCTGCCTCCATTTATCTGTTTACTTCAGTGTGTTGAATTCATGTTAATGTTTATTTAAAGACATTTCAATTAGTGGAAAAAATTGCAGCATGAAGTCTAATCAACCAAAACCTTCACGGCCCCCATGCAGTACCTCCATGCACCCCCTAGGGGTCGTGGACCTCCTGTTGAAGACCTCCGTTCTAAAGAACAACAAAGAATGAAAACCAGCGAAGGTTCTGGGTTCTGGAGCTGTGGTTCTGTGGTTAGACAGCACTGATGAACAGATACAACCCGAACCGCTGCAGGGGCTGACTGCCGCCGACAGGCTGGATGCTCCCTTTCCTCCACTTCTTGTAACAAAGCTCTCGAATATAGATCAGCCAGACCACAACCCGCCACCCCGCTGTGGGATGCTCCAGACGCCTCGGGGTGAAACCGCTCATGCATACATAAATGTGAGAACGTCTCTTTTTATTTATAAGTTCCAAACCTTTCCTGATTGGAGCTGTAGCTTTGCTTTCCACCAAGCCTGGAGGAGATATGTTGTTTATCTCCTCAGATGATAAATGCTCCAGCATGTTCTCCAGCTGATGGAAAACTCTGTCACTGCATAAAGACAGAAAGCCTGCAGGTAAACAGGGCCTTTCAGCTCAGCTGTGACATTCGACTGTTTGGACAGAGCTGATTACTTTAAAGAGATTATACACGGTTTGGGAATCATTTAGCATTCCTGGCACTTAAACTGGGAATGTTCTGTTATCCAGCCATCTCTGCATGGAGTTGGCTCCCTTTAAGAGGGGAAGATAAAAGTGATTGCTGGAGCCCGACACACTAATGATGCTCCACAGCATCTTTATTTCTGAATGTCATTAAAATCAGACTTCTTTAGAACTATTGGATAAATGAGGAAAACGAGCATGTCTTTGTTTTGAATACAATTGAGTTCAAATCAAAAATACTTTATTAATCCCAAAGAGAAATTAAACGTTGCAGTAACTCATACGTTTTTTTTCTTCCCTCAAGGTACTTTAGGTGTTGATGCTGTAGATAGGAAGGATCTCCTGTAGAGGTCTGTCTGCAGTGGAGAAGCCTCTGACTGAAGACGTTATGTTGATGTCTAACAGTCTGATGAAGAGGATGCTCACTGTTATCAATAATCTTATTCGCTTTCTGAAGAATCCTTCTCTGTGAAATCATCTCCAGAGGTTCCAGAGGAGTTCTTTCAGTCATTTGCTCTGATGCTGTTACCCCAGCAGAGGATGGAGGAAGAGATCACACTCTCCACAGCAGCATCCGCCAGCAAACACTGAAGGACCTGAGCTTCCTTAGGAAATATAATCTGCTCTGTCCCTTCTTGTAGACGGCATCATAGTTGTGACTCCAGTCTAGTTTGGTGTCCAAGTCAACACCAATTTCTACTCCTCCACCACCTCCACTTCTTTTCCAATGATGTTGATAGCTTTCAACTTGTTTCGTCTCCTTTGTTTTGTTGACATTCAGCATCAGGTGATCGTTTCCACACCATGCCACAAAGCGGTTCACCAGCTCTCTGTATTCATCACATATTCATCACTGAGTTATGACCAAAGCCATTTAGTGGAAATGTCATTTCTGCTACTAGGTCGCTAAAAGAATACTTTAAATAAAGGTTTTTGGTTCCTGATTAAGCAAATCTTTTAAAGGGGGTCATAGAATGTTTCCATTGTCATAGATGAATAATGATAGTTCAGTGGGTGAAATGGACGTACAGAGAAGTTCAAACCCCATTGACGCCTCCTTTCTCTGCAAATCTCACAATTCTAAACTTCCACCATAAAACGGGCGAATTCAGAAGAAGCCCATTTTTTTAGGTATGTAAAGTAGGACATGTCCAGGAAAAAGAGGACGTCTGCTCACCCTACCATATCAACAATTTGATGTTTCAGTGAGTGAGTGCTTGTTGCTATGATGCATCTTTGCTCAGCAGCTTCGCTCGTTGTAAACCAACCAATCAGCGCACAGCTCATCTAAATATTCAGGATCATACCATAAAAGGAAGAAAACCTGTTGTTTCATTCTAGGGCTTTTAACCAGGCTGCATTAGGGCTCATAGAACAGCAAATATACCATTTTCAGCCCAACCAATGTTACACACCCTATTCAGAGACCTGAAGGACCAGCACCACATACTCTATAGAATCATTCTATGACCCCTTTAAAAAACATTATTTGCTAAATAATGTTTTATTCATCTCATGGATTTGCGTTGTGAATTGGTTTGAAAACATTTCAGTTGCTCTAAATTAGTTAAACGTTAATTTAATCACATCCAAAATTCTTCAACATAAACCTTGGTTCTGCTAAACCGCCATATCATTGCATAATCCCATCGATTATTGTTTTCTTCCATGTTTTCCTTCCTTTTTTACACTTAGCTTAGTTTAGTTGAGTTTCACTAGTTTTAGTCAAGAGTTTTTAAATGAAATATGTTTGACTTGGAGCTGAATGGTTTTTGTTAATAAACTTATATTTTGATGGAAGGTGTGGTGAATTTATTCCATATAAGTACAGAATTATCTGACCACCATTTGAACTCGATTGACACTTTCATTTCTTGTTCTAACTCACAGCCAGTAGGGCATGTGTTCATAAATAATACACGCAGTCCCAATATTATTTGATTGAATAACATATTTACCACACCTACTGCGGAGGGCAATAAATACATTAAAGTTGCTCTTCACTACCTTTGGTGCTTTTGCTCCATGGCAGCTCCACCATCAGATCCAAGTAGTTTCTGGTCAGCGCGTACTCAGGCATGGACTGAGACATCTTCTTCAGCCTGAAATCACACCAACAGGATCCGACTGAATGCTCTTTCCAGGTTAGTGATGGAGAAAATGATAGAGGACCACTTTAAAGATGGAGCCACATCACATCAGCCAAATCACATGTGGGGTTCCTCCATTCTGGGGCCCCTCCTATTCAATATCTACCTGCTCCCCTTGGCTCAGATTATAGAAAACAACCAGATCAGTTGCCATAACTATGCAAATGACAAACACTTTAGATCCCATTGTCCCCAGGTGAC